AAACTTACCGAGATGAAGTCTGCGGGGAAATCATAGTTGAATTTATTAAGCCGATGCGAGTAATTTCCCCCGAATAAATATTTAAATAACACGGACGGTTTATTTAATCCAGCCAATATCAAGCGCGGCTCAAAAACGGGACGGTTCTGTCGATAAATTTAATGTTAAACGATTAATTTCGCGTAACTCGACGCCGTTACTGGGTAGCAGCGCGGCGTGTAATCTCGTATACATTTAAGCGCGCAATTTTTTTTTCCCCGCGCCGATTCCGCACGCGCGCGAGCGCGAATAAAATGACGGTGCCCATTAAATTCGTTTAAAATTAACATAATTAAATTGCAGTTAACGTTGCGGCGGTGAAATTTCCGGCAACAAAATGCGATTAAAACTTGTTTATCTAAATTTATATTCTCAGAGGGAAATCCCCTTGTTAAGCTACGGGACCGGTTATACGAATTCTCCGGGAGAAGATTAACCCTCGTAGAAGGGTTAAAACAAGCATCATCCTTTTCCCGTCCCTAATCTACCGGTTTAACCGTCCGTTGATCCACCTCACGGTAAGTTCGCTTGGCAGTCAAGGATTTACAGCGCAGCGACCGATTGCCGAGGTGTGCGCGTACATATATAAATGGCGCTACGTACAACAAGGCATTCGTTTCCCTGCGCGAATTGAAACGCGAAACGCCGTTTATTTATGCAATCCACCATTCACAACTATTCACGCGTGTTATGGCTGTTACACGCGCCATGTAGAAACGGAAAAACCATTTGCGCGAACCCGGGGAAAAGATAAAACCGTTGAATTTTTCCGATAGCTTGGTAAATAACGACGACGAAAAATAAAAAAAAAAAAGAGGAAATTAACACGACCACATTCGCGCGATATCTCAAATTTACGTCCGGCACATTCCCAGTTAAAGTCGACTTAATCACCGGCGCTAGTTTTCGTAATTTTCTCTCAGGACTGTACGCCACCGTCCCGCACTAGGAAGTACAATTTTTTTCTAGTAAATACGTCGCAATGCCTGTTACCTGATTACGTTATTATTACGTCGCAATACCTGCTACCGGATTATGTTATTGTTGCGCCGATCGATTAAGATAAGACGAGAACTGTAAATATAATTAAATCAACAAAATATCGATGTATAATATTAAATCGAATAATAAGAAATATCTAAATGTTCGTACTAGAGTAGCTGCAGAAGTTACATAATTAAAGTTAATTAAATTTAAATAATTATATAATATAATTCATGATATAAAGTAGGAATGTATATATAAAGCTGCTAAATTATTATTAAATTAAATAATAATGACAATTGTCACGCACTCCATGAGCTGGCGCGTTTTAGTATGCATGGGACGCGTCGCTAAAGGGATATATCTGTATAAAACCAATTGGGCTGTTAAGCGGCTGCAAATGTTAAATAAACTCAACGCGAGGTGAATCAAGCTGCCTCTTCCGCACTTTTCTTCCCCCGTCCCCTCTGCAGAAGAGTCACACGACGTGACTAACAGCACAATAAGCCATCGATCTCCTCTTTCCCCGTCGGGCTCACTTTATTTTTTTCAGGGTAAACTCGTTCCGTTGGAACAATCGGATCGCCTCGAAACGATCGCCCATTCAAACAGCCCGCCCGACAACCTCGTCGGGGGGTGACGAAAAAGGAAAAAGGAAGGCAGAGTCAATGACGGAGAGGCAGTGCGGAAAAAAAATCGAAGCACAAAAGGGGGAGGATGCCATCGTACTGACACGTAGACTTTGTCGGAATCCACCCTCTTTTGGATGCCGCCGGTGCGAAAATCTCCGGAACAAAAATACACTTTTCGTTGTTCCCCGGGAAATTAAATCCCTCTACGCGGAAACTAACGAACAAATCAACGCGATCGACAGAACCTGGAATCCTTCCTCTTTTTTTCTCTTTCTCTCTAGAATGCCGCCAGCAAAACGCTGAAAAACTTTGGATTAATACGCAGAGCATTTGCCATCGGCGTATTAAATGTGAACGTTATACCTATTCTTTTTTTAATCTGAGAAATATTCTAATGAAAGAGTAGCGTGATATTCGTAGTATTTAAATTATTTATGTTATTTGCTCTATTTGCCTGCGTATTTTTTTGCAAAGTTTTGGAAAGTGCAAATAAATGTAAAATAAAATTCACTCTTCATTTAACTTTCACGTTTTAGTAAAATTTTAATTCCAAGTTTGGATGCTAAAATATTTAACACGGGAAATTAAAAAGTTGAAGCAAATAACGACAAGTGTCCAAGTTTTATCTCTCATTCAAGTAAGACTAAATATTTCTTACTATTTAACTTGAAGATTTTCGTTTGCATTTTATTAATGATAAGAACTTTAGATGAAAACTCCGGTATTTTTTAAAATTCTCCTCCCGTTAATTTGTTGAATTATTCATCATCCAAAATATATTCACTTTTTAATTAGTGACCGATAATTTAATCATAATCTATGATTAATTTCTCCCCATCTTTATTTCCATTGCTCATCAATCATGAATACAGATTAATCATAAATATTGGTAATCATAATTATGGCTAATTTTATTACTCGATAATGATTGAGTTAATTACATTCCAACTCCTGCGTATGTTTATTTTCTTTCGGATATTGTTGCAGAAGTCGATTCTGCCAACAAAATAGCACAAAAGATTTTTCGGCTCGAGAGTGCATAGTCGAATTCCGCCTGACGTCACTTTTATCGATGCAAGGCACGATTTTTCTCCGTCGATGGTCCATCGCGTCAACGTAGAAGCTGGCGAGACATCCCATTGGTGCATCCGCTCTCTCACCGTCATAACTGTATTTTTCATGCCTCTCTTCTCGCGCCTTCTTCTTCGTCTTTTTTTTTTTTTTATCAAAACTCGCTTTCGAAACCCGTTATCGTCGCGAACGAGTACTGCGTTGAATATACGAACGTGAGCAACGCGGTGAGTCGCGACATCGCGCACACCGATCGCCTCCATTAAACTCGTCGATTTTATCGGGAGCTCTTTCTGTGCTTCCAGATTGTGACGTTGCGACGAAACATATATACGTATATATAAAAAAAAAAAAAAAGAAAGAAAGAGGTTAACGGGACAGAGCGAGAGAGCGACGTGCTGGTAAGCCGAGACGACGGTACGCCGAAAAATACGCTCGTTAGCTCGTTATTCGCAGGAGAGGACAGGTCGGTGATTTTATCGGGATTGCTTTTATAACGATGCAACTTTGCGGATCGGATGTATCCGGCGGAGGAAATAGCGGTGAAATTTGCGATGCAAATGCCACATTAAGCGGTGGAGAGTCGGTGTAAAAAGCTGAGACCTGCGCCTGAGCGTACAACGAGATAAATGCGTATTTTTACATGCTGGCGAATATATTTTACTTCATGTGGCGATGATTAATTCTGTTGGCGGAATGTGGGAATATTCACCAGGCGAGTCTGCTTGTTATCATTATGCGGTGTCATCCAACAAGTAGGTCCATAGAGAGAAAAAGAGGAGCAGAGAGAAAGGAAGAAGGAAAGAGAAAGTATATCTTTTTGAAAACGGAAAAAATAGATATAACCCAGCTAAAAATACATAGACTAAAATATAGAAATCAAAAATATGAAACGATAAATCAGAAAACTCATGTATCGAAAATCACACAGTGACATTTTTATTATGATACACTGTTGGATGTGCACTGAGAGCTAACTTTATACATTTGCAAAAATTTATTGCACGTGAATATTAATAGCACCAAGATTCGCTTCAACCGGAAATAGAATTCTTTGTCTTATTTGATTTATAAATATATATATATATATATATTTTTATATTGTATATACATTTTTATATCGATAATAATAAATCTAATTATACTTTTATAGGTCAATTTCTATTATAATTATTTACATACATATAAGTATCAGTCGCTATATTTGCAAAGGAAATATCAAGAAAACAAATTGAGACGCTTCAGATAATATGAATTACACAATATCAAGATAATAATAAATAAAACAAAAGCTACGGCATTTTTAAACGGGTTCTATATTTTAAGCTAAGGTAAAAGTAAGCTAAAGGGTCGCATTAATCGCCGTCAGTGTTTTATCCATAGGAATATTTAATCTGTGCAGCTAAATCGCTATTTTAAACCGCTTTGAGGAAGAATTCGATGAATTCGTGATAGCGAATTCATATCTCTCTTCACATATAACGTAATTACGTAATATATGAAACATTTCCGTCGAGAAGACAAAATGAAAATAGCCGTCAATGATAGCGCGATTTCTTCAATGGGTGAAATCGACCAGGCGGCTTGTCTAACGATATCCACCTCGACTTTTCCAAGAAATGCGACTCGCGAGGCGAATCCGTTCCGCCTCGCGTATGTCGACACGATCACGATGGAGAACTTGAAAGCTTGCGATATGCTTGGTAAAATGACATTCGTGTACCGATTATGCCGGAGATATAAATTTTTCAGCGAATATCTATCGTATCAAAGTTATAGGAGTCTCTTAAACTGTGTTAAACCTTGATCCTCGGCTTGACACCGGCAACTTTCTAATTCGTCCATTAGCTCATTTACATAATTTCGTTCAATTTTCTAATTATTTTCAGCGAGTTTAAATTTCAGAACAATAAAATCTCAATAAATTTCATATCTTTGTAATTCGTTCTAATTTCGTTCCTTTTTCATGTACATTATCCGAGAGAGCACGCGAAAATATTTAATAGCTCAGTTCCTTTCTTCCGCGAAAAAAAAAAGCAATGGCCCGACGAAAGTCGCATAAAATAGCAACATCCGGTCGTATATCCGTCATGCGTGTATTCATCAAAGAGGGAAAAAAACGTGGCCTCTCGCTCACGAACGTCACGCACCTTTTTCCCCTTCCAACGGTATTGGGCACCAGGAGAGTAGGCACTTCTCCGGAATACTCCGGAATTCTCCGGTATATATCACGTGTCGTACGCTGCGAGCACTTTAGTGTTTATCGGGAGGAAGGGGAGAAAAGGCCCGAATACGTGCTTCTCTTGGGTCCAGTGCGTCGCGCGATTTCGCGGTGAGAGGACTGTGGCCGAGTCGACCGCAAGAAAGAGCACACGAAGAGAGATTTCCTCGGCAGGTCGCCGCCACTGCACGCACGTACACACATCATCTGTACCATCGCCGCGATCGATACCGCGTCTCACTCTTTCGTCCCGCCTACATAAGATCAAACGACGCGATCTTGAACACCGACCGACTCCCGGCTTTCGCCATGGCTCCGGCAATCAAGGTGAGTGACGAACGTGCGCAACAGGTTGATGCACTTTCTCGCGCGCGCGGTACGCACACCCTATATATATACATATACATATATATATATATGTGGTGTGTGTATATGCATATATATATATATATATGGATGTATATACACGCGGCCGGTGATTTAAAGTTTCGGGGGAAAACACCCTTCAGAGGGAGAGTAACTCGCCCCTCGCGCACGCGAAGCTGGGCGAAACGGTTGTTTCGGTATGCAAGGAAAATTCTCGCCACCCGAGAATCCCCCGCGTGATATCGTCCCGAGAAGCTTATTCATCGGACGTTCGGGATACGGTACGAGCTACTTAGGATCCTCCTCGTGGACTCTCGCTCGGTGTCGTACATTTACGACAGGAGTATTTGAGGATAGAGGAGGGTCTACCGCCGCTTCTGCACGATTTATTTTTATTGTAATGCGTTTTACACCGCAACGAATGGCTACTCGGAGACGAATAAATTCGCGTCAAAAAATGCACCGCTTTGCATAATTGTATATTTGCTTGGAACGTCGCGGAAACTGCGCGGCTCCCACGAAGAATATCTATGTGTTAAAAAAAAAATTAAGTCCAGAATTATCAATCTTGACATATTTATATGAAAAAGACAGTCTCTTTACAAATTAGAAAAAACGCGTATTATAATCAAAATTTGTAAATATTTTATGAAAAATAATACGGGCGAGAAGTAAATATTAAGTAAATAATGAGGTAACATAAATATCGTACGATATTAATAATAATAATAATAATTTATTTTATGAAAATACGTGTATTTCCACGATTCTTACTTTTACCGAAATAAAGAGCGGAACCATTTTTGATCATCCTTACTGTTCATGTACAGATATTCTATTTAGATGAAGCAAATATTGGAAATCGATAAAGATTTTATACGCTACATTGCCGAGTTTGGAATGAAATAATGTTTACTAGACATGTATGCAAAGGCTCGGATTAATGCGCTATTAGATTAAACCAATAATGTTCCATTGTTATGTGCCTTTGTACAGCTAAACGATCGTACGATGCAAAGTAATTGCATCTTGCGCGGGAAAATACTGTAACGCACTGTAAAATCGCTTTGGTTCACAAAGCTTGGTGGTTGTTCGTATCATGTACATACACACCGCGCCGATAATGCGAAAATGCAGAAATAACAAGAACAAAAAGCGAAATACCATATCAAGATCTTTCTATAATTAATGAAACAGACACATTTATGTATTTTTACCAATTCGCTTAAATACGAGAGGATATTAACCTTTATCGAAATTAGGTCAATATTCTTGCGTCTCTCGGTCTGAAATTTTGTACCAATAACTATATAAAAATCATTTAAGTTAATTACATCTTGTTTTATACGTCAAATTTTGTAAGGATTGAAAAAGATGCGACTAAAAGCTAAATAGTTGGCATATTTTGTTATATACACATGTAAAAAATCGTAAAACATATTTTATAATTATATGATGGACTTCACACAGGAATAATTTGATGAATTTGAGACAAGATATGTCTGTCGAATCATAGAAAGATTAAGTAATCGACATGTTGTACACGCTCGCAAGAAGTAGCTAGGATCGAATCTTACGAAAAAGAAATAGCGATTCCTTTTGTAATAAAATCGAATTATCAAATTTTTGCACGTAGCACGATAGCTGTATGTGCGATGCGATTGGCAACAGCTTATCGGCAATGCGATAACATTATAATTCATACATATCGCAATCGTATACTTATGCAAAAGGTGTCGAAACGTTGCCCGACCTGAATGACAATCGCAAAGAAGATTGTTCAACGATTTTGCAATCTTTAAAGTGCAACCACTTTAAAAGCGCACTTAAACGACGAATAAATAAAATTTCGATGCAATAATATTATTTTCAAGTTTAATAAAATATGAAAAACGAAATACCAATAATTATATTAGTTTTAACTTCTACATTTCATATAAAATTGTAAAATGTATCAAACGATGACTAGAAAATAAATATTAAATTTGTACAACATTTAAACGTTATTTTTTTATGATTTATTTTAATTTGCGAATAAGAGTTTTAAAAAGATACATTTGCATCACAAGTAAATTGATGAACGAGATAAGTGTGCGTGTCTGTTAATCGTCTCCTTAAAATCTACAATTTTATAAGACGAGATCTTACAATTAGTACACGGAGAAAATTTTATATTAAGTTTTAATACAATTTTAAATTACACTTTACTACGTCTCGTATTTTTCGATGGATCATCGCAACATGATTCCGGCTTAACTTTTACTATGGTAATACTAATTTTTATCACATAAATAACGTAATTATTTTATTAAACCAGTGCTATTAAGCCACATTCTAACATGAAAACAGTTAATTTTTACTACGGTACGCAAACAAAATTTGCTAGGTATATATTTTTCACTTATCTTTACAATACTTACTTTTATTTAACAAGTTTTGATTTTGTAATAAAAAATGTTTACTATGAAAAAGCGTAAAAATTACGTTGCATTATTGTTTTTAAAAAAATAGCTATTAAGTAAATAACATTTAAACTTATAATTTACATGATAGTCCGCAGCTACCACGTTATAGTAATTTTAGATATAAAATTTTCTCCGTGTATAAATATACACTAAAATTACGGTTTCGCTCGACAATGAGATTAATCTACAATCTACTATTAATTTTGTTCTCCACTGCTCCGCATGAATATTGTGCTCGAAAGAGCGCAAGCTGTGTTATTTATTAGTAATATTATTTACCAATATGAAAACGAGAAGACGCGTACTCCCGGCGACAATCTCGCTAGTATATCTCGATTACCGCGAAGCAACTGTAAATTAGTTTGATAACCGTAAATTAACGCGGCCGCAAATAATGCCGCACCGACGTGGCCGGAGGGGGGAAGGAACGTCGCTAAATTATTATTTATCGAACGGCAACGGTGATATCGGTCGTATAACTTGCAGCTTGCAGGACTGCTTCCGCTGATATATCTCTAGTTACCATTCACAGATGAGAGTACTCTCCATTCGCGGTGAATGTGGATTATTAATTTATAACCGCGAATTGCCGTTTGCAACGCGCGTAGACGTGACGACGCGACGCGACGCGTCGAGTAAATCATCGTAATCGAAGTTAGGTGAAAGTGCTGTGTCGATAACTGCCCGTAATTATTGCAGTATACGGGCACGGGCAATAAACGTAATTAATACTATACCAACAGTGCGGTTTCGCGACGCGTCGCGTCGTATGCTTACGGCGCATTATCAGCCGTTACATTCAATACGACTGTAATTAACGGCCCGTATGCGAATCGCCGTATGTACAACGGATGAGAGAGAGAGAGAGAGAGAGAGAGAGAGAGAGAATGTAGTGCACGGCACTCACTGGACTAAACATTCCGACGCATTATAACGCGCGAAGAGGACCGATATTAACGCGACGTGCCGGCGATAAAATCTATATATCGACGCCAATTTGCCATTCAGAACGGGCAATAATTCTTATAATCCACACCGGTTTGCGGAAGTAAGCGGTTTTGCGCGAGCGCGCCCCCGCCTCAAATCCACAAATCACTCCTACGTTATATATATATATACGTACGTGGCGCGGGCTGTGATTTACGGAGCCGTCGCGATTATTAGGATTCTGCCACAAAAGTCGAAATTCGAGATTCCGTCGGGAAATCAGGCGGACGGAGGTGAGTCTGCTAAAAGTGTGATCTGAAATGCAAAACCTAATTATGCCATGATTAAGCCACATTTGGGTCGTGAGACTTGGTGTAGCCAGACATACAATATTGTTAATAAATGTGAAGTTTTACAGTTAATTTTAGAAACATAGAGCAATTATTCTATTTCAATTTTTAATTGAAGAATTTATGAATTTCAGAAAAATGAAGAATTTACGATGGGATCACGAGAAGAACGGTTTTACTGAATTATCTAAAGATTTAAATACAAATTTAAATAGAAATCTGAAAATAATTTTATTGAATTGTCAAAATAATTATATAGGGCTCTCAAACCGATTGCTAGAATATCACAATTTTTTTTATAGCATTGTTTGAGTTATGTTTGAGTTTTCTGTGTAATTATTCAATTGTCTAACAAAATTATTTTTAGAATTTTCCATATGTAGCTAAATTTTTTTAGATATTTTAGAAAAATCGTCCTTCCCGTCTCCCTATTGAAACGGCCAATTCGTCACCGAGAAGGCTATTGCAATCGACAGGGAGGAATTTGGTATTCAATCTCGCATATATTATCCAGAATACTTAGCGTAACAATGAAAAAAAAGGTATAAAAAATTGATCGTAAACCCAGGCTACACGCGTACGCAAAAAGTCGCGCACGGGCAAGAAAGAAAATCGGACGATCGTAAAGCCCGAGGTTATTCGAAATCCAGGCCGGAGAAAGCAGTGAAAGGGCGCGGCGGGGATTAAAAATTCAAATTATAACGCTGCACGTACAGCAAAAGAGAATAAAAACAAAAGATGAAACAAAACTGTAGTTGGCGAATCATACATTTCCGATCGCGGCGCGAATAGCTCGGGCTTCCAAACGGGTTTACTTACGAGGAGATATGCAAAAGAGGACCTCGATCAGCGCGAATACGTAGCACAAAGGATGTCAAAGGAATCCAATAAACAGCGCGCGAAGGAATTCGATTGCCTACGGGTTCAGGTATATTACGGGCTCGTAATAATCTAGAAATACGTTCCTACGCCCGAACTATCGTGTCGGATAATCAAACGCGTCTCCATAAACTCGTTCTATTAACGACTACGAAGCAGGGTGACACACACACGTACACTTTTTCGATTGCCGCACAAATCCAAAAGAGCCAATTGACCCATATTCCATTTTGAGGTATAAAAACTATCACCAGCGGCAGGACCATCATCGAGCAGCGCGGTTGTCGGTACTTTCAAATATACCTGTATATACGTACAGTTCGAAACAGGCATTCACTTTTCAAATGCCCATCATGTAGTGTACATATTTGATGTTTTGAAAATGTCATAAGTGGTATCCAATATTCAACGTCGACTTCATATCCAGTAAATAGTTTCAATCCTATAAATACGCGGTTCATGGGGGAAGTATTTAAATAGTTTCCAGATATTTGCGCGGTCGCGCACGAGCTCAGAGAATCCTCTTTAATCCGAATGAAATAATAGTATCGCGTACCGCGCAATAACATAAATACGAAATTAGCGAACGCTCGTTAGCGTCCGCTGAATCTTTCAAGAAGCATTCTTAATGAGAAAGACCACGGTGAGAATGTGTTGCGGTACAAATGCGGTAGTACCGAGCGAGGTGAAAATTCACTTCGCGAATTAGAATAGCCGTGAGTTTATGAAAAAAAGGAGAGAATCATCGCGGCGACAAGGAGGTAATTTAAAAGCGGCAACCTTGGTTAAGTCTCGACGACGACGACGACGACGACGACGACAATGTGCGAGGCGAGGCGACTAGGGAGGAGAGAGAAGAACGAGCAAACAGAGATTGGAACTACTCGCATACCCACCGTCGTAGGTATAGCAGCGGCACGACGGTGGGTTGCTGCTTGTTTAGCCGTGTTAGCTTTGGCGTGCGCACCGCTTCGCCTGCAGGCCAGCCCTACCTTATCCGCTTTCGTTACCGCATGACAGACGTGCTTCCGCCCTTATTGTCGGACGGCCGCGCAGCTAATTTCACCCCATACAGGGGCATTGCAGGTATATTCTACGCGCGCGCTCTCCGTCCTGTGTCTCTCCCGTGTCCCACCAAAGCCGGGGGAACCCGTTTACCATAATACTTGCAGATAGTGTAATCACGTTAAGCCCTGTCGTTGGGATATCGTTGGAGTTAATAAATTTAACGTCGCGCGCTTTACCCGCAATACGCGTAAAACGGCAATCCCTTTTTTACGCTCCACGGCGTTACGGCGAAAATCCGAGAGGCAATGAAGCGCCGTGGGAACTGTCGTGAAACGCTGTAGAAAATCTGGATTCGTTTAACTATGGTATATATCCCAATCCGGTAAACAAGAAACATTTTCAAACGTTTTTCAGCTAGTATTTCAGCAACGTTATACTGGGAAGATTCAGTAATTATAATAATAATTGGGGTATACTATTGTGGCTCACGTATTTGCATATACGTATAATTATGTTGCAGATCCTCGTCTTGGCCTGCGCTTTGCTCGCTACAGCGATGGCCACTGAATCGGATAGCGAGGGGCAGCAATCTGGCAGATCGAGAGTTTCTGACGAACAACTGAATATGGCCCTGAGCGACAAACGTTACTTGAACAGACAGCTTAAGTGCGCCCTGGGAGAAGCGCCGTGTGATCCCGTCGGACGACGTTTGAAAAGTACGAGTTAGACTTCGTTATCGCGGAGAGATGGCATCTCGCGATTATCCCAAACAGGACTTGGAATAAAATTCCAATTCTTCTTGATATCACGAGCCTGAGGCACGAGTAAAAAAAAAAATGCGATCGACTTTTACAGTACTTTGAGAAAAAGACGGGAGTAGAAGATGCTCGGTATTTTCAGAGTAAATTAGGATTATTTATCGTATCGGAATTGTGCAAGACAAAGTTTACGACGGGTGTAATTTCCATGTAATTTCGGTGAGTTCAATTTCCATTGTGAGAGATACGCGGCGAACAAGAACGTCACGCTAATTGTCACGTTTCCGTCGTCGTAGAGTAAACATAGGGGTCGAACGTTTTCGTGTGTCTGTGGAAGCAGAACCTGAGCTCTCAGTGAGATCGTATCAGTCTCAATCCTTTATCGAAAGCGTTAAATATTGAGCATTACCTCCAACTATTCAAACTCGTACGATAAACGTTTATTCGCTTTTGAAGTGGACCCCTTCTATTCTTCCCGTTCTTATTTTTCGTTCCACGCTCACCTCATGAAAGGTTAAAATTAACATCAGAGATTCCAGAACAAATTGTATACACTCGCGGAAATGTTAAACATCAAATATCATTATATCCTACGATAATATTGTGCACACACACATAAATCTCAAGAGAAACTTGCGCACATACGCTTTACGTACATAAAACCGACCCGAAAATTCTGTTGAAATTCTACGTCGTTATTTTATCCAGGTTTAGTGCCGCTGGTTCTGAGAGGCTCCTGCCCGCAGTGCAGTCCCGAAGAGACACGTCAGATCAAGAAGGTCCTTTCTCACATTCAGCGATCCTTCCCGAAGGAGTGGAACAGGATAGTTCAACAATACGCCGGAGTTCTGTAAACGAGATACGATATAAGGGCGCCAGCCACGAGGCTGGATGTACAGAATATAGTGAGAAAGGATACAATGAATCATCTATGGAAATATACCGTCGATCACATTCATTTATTTAATAGTATTGTTATCGAATGCACAAGAAAAATATAGCTCGATCGAAAGAGATATATTTAACCTTCCATCTGTAATTTGAGTTTTTTTTTGTTCAACCCAAGTTTTTTTTATAAAAACCGATAAAATCTAACTAATGGACTCCCAAAATTCAAACGATAAATTTATAACTAAGGGTAGGCGAGAATAAATAACTGCGAATAAATAATCAAGTTTTTTTGGCTATTTTAGGTTTTCGAAAAGTACGAAAAAGTAAGGGTTACTTTTTTCACCATTTCTATTACATTACCAAACAGCTCTCTATTTTAAGAGACCAGACTCCGCTCTACTTTGAAATAATTTGAGAGCGAAATTTCGCTTGTGCTAAAAAAAGATTCAGATTAGAAACGGAGGGTTAAAATATCATCAGAAGCACATACGTAGAAAGGTAGTTTCGATATGTGAAGATTTTATCTGTATTATCTATTATTTATGTAAGATGTTGTACATGTATAAATTCTATTCGCACGTTTGACATATTTTAATAAAATTTACCGTTTCATCGTTTTTAATTTAACTCACGTATCTTTATCTGCGTCGAAGTGTCGCCTTCCGTTTCATTAAAACAGTACGCGTACACCGCGTCTCATCCTTGCCTCTTTATTTCACGGTATTCGAGCTCCACCTTCTGTCCTGGATCACACGAAGTACCAACGTGCCGCGACAACGACGCACGTTTACGCGCGTTCGTTACACTAAAGCGTGATTCGCATTCGCGATGTATAACATCGATTAGGGATATTGGTGTTAAACCTGGTGCGTAATCCAGGAGAACGGTTCGCGTTACACGCGTTGTTATTAGGGCTTATAAGTATTCCGGGCTTTCGCAAGGACGGTTTGGATGTTTGACCAGGTTTATCGAGTATTAATGACGATCAACAAGTTGCTAATTTATTTGGCACATAATTAACACTATATCTCCGCGCACTCGCTACATATACAGCCACCATGATTGCACCCTGATTCGGATTTCGCTACCCCTGCTGTGAATATTAATTCTACTGTGTCTCGATGTCAAAGCCCTCGTATGCATGCTAATTTAAGTTTGCTTCGTGTACCATTGCGTGCCGCGAAATAGGCTAGTAATTAAACTTTATAAACATCGATAAAAGTGTACGAATAGCGCAGCAATAACATCGTCGCCTTAAAGTTTGAAAAGACGCGTTTCAATATTTGCTGCACTGCGGTAGAACTATTTGAGGAAACTTCTCAGCTGTCAGTGATGTCAGTATGCTGTAAGTTGGAATACGTCCTTTACTCACAGTTCGCAATAATCCCAGAATGGAACGAGTCATGCCAATTTGTCAAGCAACTAGTTATCGTTTAAAGTGGCATCATTCAGCGAGCTAAGACCAAAACTGACCTGTTTTAGACGAGCCGTTCCGCAACGAGCAAATTGATATTAGACGTTACACGAAGAAAAAACACTTGAAAACTCGAGCCCTATTAAACGTTACATTCGCAATATGAAACTCGTCACAATCGCTTCGCGCAGTAGATATATACGGACAGACTATTATCAGACATCTAAAAATGTTACCTTACGACACGTAAATATCCGACTGGCTGCCAATATTTTCAGTGATGATTTCTCGACGAGACGACTATTCAGTTTTTTTATGTAATTGAAAACCGTCTCTCGGACCTGCAAAAATCACGGCGAAAGACGTGAGCGTGATGTACAAAACTATGCGTTGTCCTGAAAACGGCTGCAACCGTGGCAGACAAATCTATTGCGTCACCTCGCAAGTTGCGAATCCTTCAACGACACTCGCACGTCCTCGTCTGACTATTTATCGACCACGTGTACCCAGCCGTTCAAACTGGTTTTCGATGATGCTTTCCCGAGAGAAGCGGAGATCTCGACAATTCAGGAAATCCGATTTGCCACTCCGTCTATCCTCGCAAAATTCAAAATTGAAGTCTACGTAGAAATAAGCGAAGAAAGACGCTGACAATTCCCGCATGTACGGCGTTCGTGTACAGGGTGCTTCTAAAATGCTTGGACAAACTTTGTAAAAATGTAATCTTCAAACAATTTGTAGCTTATTTTTCCTTATCAAAACTATCAATATGTTTGAAGCGGTTAGGTTCAAAAAATGAAAAATTCATCCGCGGATTAGATTTTAGAGATGGACATACAACTATCGAAATCCTATATCTAATTTCGGGTTTATTTTAGAAGAATTCCGATTCAAGTTAAATATTAAATACTTTGGCGACCATGTTTTGCTAGAGTATCTAATATTTAAAGTTAAAAGGAGAAACTTAGCTGAAATCAAATTTCCGTCAAGGAAAAATCGGTGCCAACTTGATCAAGTTGAACATCTCAGCAAAGCTCTGAGTATTTCAGTAACATCCTGTATAAAGTGCGACGCGACAAGATTCGACTCACGTAATGCTTGTGCATTTTGCATCAGTAAGACGCGATACAATTTAAACAGCTCGTCTCGCTGACTGCAATATGAACTGAGCACACCGATTAAATCGACCTTAGAGCGATTGTGTGATTATCGCATCGATATGGTTACAGTTACGGATCAAGGTCCCGTCCGACAGACGTTTAATCGCTGGATAATTGATCCTTCGATCGATGGGCGATTTCCTACACGGGGCGGTCGTATTCGAGAGTGTCGTCTCGCCGACGACGACAAGTTGAAGTCGAAGCTACCTCCACCCCTCGGCAAACATTTGTTCTTCTTGATTGATACGCGATAATACACTTTCATTCAGGAGGGACAAATATTGAATCCCGTCGAAGAAACGTGGAGACAGTATGTTTGCACACCTCGTGTATGTGTCCCGCTGGATGATATTGTACATATGTGTGCCTTATGTTATTTACACAATCGTCTACAATTTCATTGCTCATTCGCGCGATCGAGCAAGTATTTACATCTGGAAGTTTAAAAATTTCCAACTCCAAACCGAGAACCGAGGAAAGGCGAGTCGGAAAAATCGCTTGTTACGCCCGAATGCAGCGTACCGTTGTAAAAAAAAAAAGAAAAAGACAGGTGTACTTTAATTACTTTTAATTGCTCTAAACAACTTGCAACAATACTCACGTTCTACTAATTAAAATTAAACCGAGTGGATACACAGTAGAGAAAATTGTTCGACTCAGATTCGACGGAAGTTGATTATTTCAAGTACTTGGGTTCCATTTGATTAAAGAACAAAATAAATAACGACGTTATATATATTGGCTGGAAAAAGTTCTTACTCCATGTTTCTCCTAATTATTGATTAATTAATTAGCACAGTTATGTTTACGATGTAATTTGTATATCTACTCATGCACGCAAATATCGCGCAGTAACTTTGTCACATCTCGCCTCGTTTCCTCTCGACACACATGGCGAACTGAGGGCAATATGTAACCTGACGATGAGCAATGTCGCACAAGCGATTTTCCGAAACGACGATATCACGGCCTCGGGAAAGTGGCGTTATATAGCCGTAAGATTATTCCGGTGTCGGGCAGATTCCCGTGGTCGTTCGATGGCGGGACCTCCGCCTTATAATTCGTTATACGAGCGTGGTAAAATGGCCATACCTTCACCGCCATCGTATACCGCTGTAACCGCTACCGCCGTCGCGTCGCCGTCGTCACCGCCGCCGCCGCCACAAATCCACGACGTCGTTAAAACGACCAGCCTTCAACGTCGTGAAACTTCCCTCGGCGCTTGGGCTCATCCTGAGGGATCATCATTTCCACTCTTTATCGACCGCCGTACAAAAGGCAACTCGTTTTGCCCGATGGAAAACAGATAAAAAGGTTCCTCACTCCACCTCTTTCTTTATATATAGATCTATATATATATATACACGGAGGGGTGCACGCCGCCCTACGTACGAAGTGCTGAGAGACCGAAGGAGAACTTGAAGAGAGTAAGGAAAAAAACTTCCGTAGGAAAGTTTTCAACGAGAAGGAGACTTCGTTGAACGGTACGAAGAGTCGGGGCGAGAGTGATTTCTTTGGTTCGACCCGCTCGAACTTCGCATTTTTGCAGCAGTCGCCGCGTGCACGGGTATAGCCGAGATTCTCGCTTCGTGCGGTGTTCAAGTGCGCGATTAATATTTTAATGCGGTTCCTCTCCTTACCGAGGTAGAAACTGCTACCCGCTTAAGAGAGTTATCCGTGAAACGTTTACCTTATTTCGTTTCACGCGTTTTTTCCTCTCGACGTTAAGTATCTCGACATTCAAACAAAGCCTCAAATTAAATTTCCGACCAAGCAACGTCGGGTTGAAATTCCGAAAGAAAGAAATATCGTAAAAAAAATGAGATTTTTTTTCATTTACATCAGATTAAGCTCCATACGCTTACTAATTATCGATGTTAATTATCAAACCCTCGTAGCTGTCGCTGGTGAAACAAATTTCTACTTTCAGTGTAAACCTTTCGTTTCACTGCCAAGTAATACTAATTCGACGTTCTCAAGAGCCACTTCCTAAAGAGGCACAAGATTGACTGTTGATTCTCTCGGAGGCTCACGGGACATTTAGCAAGAGAAAGAGAGGCGCTTTAATTACGTTTGAAAGCACGAGGGGCCGACGCGAAAACGTGAAACAGGATTACGGTACGCGACGTTAACGGCGCTTAAACACACGAGAGGAATCTCCGTCGCGCTCACGCCCCCCCCTCGCATCCAATATGCCACCGGCAATTCTTGGCGTGGCACAATGCATGAATGTGAGAGCGTACGCGAGACTCGTGAATGACCCGGACTCGGGCCTCTCTCGCCTCCCTGCGTCGACACACGCACGCACACGGTGCATTCCTCTCTCGCATGCACCGCGCGCGCAAACTGCACCAAACTGCACGCCGACCTCACGGCATAGACATTACCGTGGCCCGTGCCCGACACGTGGCAGCCGGAGAGAGCGCGAGAG